AAGAGTACCTAAGTACATAACAAAAATTTTAAATACGTTAGTTACAAAATAACTAATAACATAATTTAAATATTAGTGTTTAAATATAACGCATTTTATCAAAGATTAACAATAATTTAAAAGTATTAAAATTTTTCAACAAAAAATTAAACTAGATTAAAGTTGCAACAAAAGAGAAGTAGTGTCCAAAACTATTTTTTTAGATAATTTATATTATTTGTATATTATTTTTAAAAGAGACATTTTAAATCAAAGTCTTTTTGTAAGAAGAGATTATTAGATTCTTTTCTAAATTTTTCCAGAGATGTGTTGAACATCATTATTTTTTGCGATAAATTTTAAAAAATGTTTCCATAGAAACGGTCCGCGGTATTAGATTTTGTAAGAATTTAGTTTTGAATTAGTTTTTGGAACAATAAAGTTATTAATTGAAAATTTAGTAGGATACTTTTGCAAGATTTGACTAAAGTAAGACTGAAATACAATAGGAGAGAGTTCATGTTTAGTTATAAACATGAATTGTAGAACTTGGTGTATATTAAGTTTAAAGACATTTAGTGCACCGAGCTTCCTTAAAAGAGGTTCACATTGAAAAGTTCTGTGGGCACCAAATATAATCCTGCGTGCATGTTTTTGCTTACTATGAAGTTTTTTCAACTTACCATAGTTAGTACTACCCCATACAATATTGCAGTAAGAGATAAAACTCTGAATAAAAGAAAATTATATTTTTTAGAGAAGAGGTGTTAAGATGTGTTTTAGTTTTATATAATATATTTCTTGATATTTTATTTTCTATATATTTTGTATGTGGTTTCTATGACAAATTTTCATCTATTATTACTCCTAGAAAATTAACGATTGGTTCCCTTTTAATAAATGATTTATTGATTAGGAGATTGGGTAATTTTAGAGGAACATCATCATCTTTACTTGGTTTGGAAAATAAAATAAATTTAGTTTTTTTTCATTTAACGAAAGCCTTTTGCTTGTAAATCACTCGTTTATTTTGAATAGTTCTTCATTAAATATATTAAAGAGAGCTTTTATATCTTTGTTGGAATAAAAAAGATTGGAGTCATCTGCAAACAATATAACATTTAAAATATTTGATGCTAATTATAAATCATTTATATACAATAAAAATAATAATGGCCCTAAGATTGAACCTTAGGGTACACCACATGTAATATGTTTTTCTTTTTCTTATGTATTATAAATAACACATTGTGACCTGTTCGCTAGGTAGTCTTCAAACCAAAGTAAAATTTTTACTCTTTATTCCATATATTTTTAGTTTTTTTATAAGTATCTTATGGTTAACAGTGTCAAAGGCTTTCGACAGATCAATAAAAACTCCAAGAGTAAAATAGTCATTATTGAATGCATCCGATACATGATTAACTAGTTCGATTATAGCATGGTTTGTTGAATTATCTTTTTGAAATCCAAATTGTTTACTGTACAGCAAACTGTTTAACATCAAATAGTTGTAAAGTCTGTTGTACATAATTCTTTCTAATAATTTTAAAAAGCATGGTAAAACGGAAATAGGTCTGTAGTTGTTAATATTAGTTTCGTCACCAGATATAAAAATGGGCAATTTTAAGTTTTTTCGGCACAACACCTCCCAGCCGGCAAATAACGTTGAAATGTTGGATTATCGTTGAAACCTAACGTTGAATTAACGTTGATTTAACGTTTAGAATGAATGTTTTTTTCAACGTTGATTTATCAAAGTTAAATTAACGTTAGATTCAAACGTTATATCAACGTTGATTCGACGCGAAAAAACGTTACAACAACGTTGAATTTACGTTGATACAACGTTTAAAATGATAGTTTTTTTAACGTTGATTTATCAAAGTTAAACGACTGTAAAACACTTTTTCACAATCAAAACGTGCTATGTATGTCAAAATGTATATATGTATGTAAACATGCTATGTGCGTCAAAATATGATCACCATCATAACGTACTATGCATGTACATTAGTGTTGCTGTACATTATCAAGGTATATAATGGATATTAAATCTATTCATAGTCTATACTTAGACTATTTAGAACTTTTTCAGTTTAGGTAAAATAGCTAGGTATGATTAAAGAAAGAGATAAAACTTGTTTTATTCAAAAATACATATTCAAATATTACATATATTTACATGTAATTGAATAAAATCTACACAAATTTCTTCTCTTTTCCACCACCTTTTTGAAATAAAGCGTAATTTAGATAATCAAGCAATGCTCCATTAACCGAGGGTTCTTTTGGTCCATTAAATACAATAGAAGAAACTGTAAATAAAAAAATTTATCAAAAAAATCAAAAAGGGAAGATTTACAAAATAAATAATGAATGGAAAAGTGTTACAACTTATGAAGGTATATCTTTTTCAACGCCATATAGATTAGTGTTCTTAAAACATATTTTTCCACCTTTGCCCTTCATATCCATGGAGGCCATATAACTTTTCGAAAATAATCTGAATTTTTAAAAAATAATATAACTGTTAGTTGGTTATTAATAACTTTTTCAAATATTTAATTTAAATAAAACAACCTTTTTAATATATTAAAAATAAATTAATAATCAAAATATAAAACATTTCTAGCATTGAAAAATAATTTTCGGGGTGGCCACATAAAACTTTTATAAGAAATTTTATGTGGCCATTTACTAATGGTTTAACGTCCATGTTTATACACTTATGGGGCTTGGACAGGGATCAAATAATGTCATTTGTTATGTTAAATAGCATGCATTTTTTAAAGCAATTTTTTACAGTTCCATGCACTTTAAGGCGTTAACCAGTTTTGCAGACCGAGAATGGGTATTTTGAACATTATACATCCATCAAAAATTAAAAAAGAAAAAATTAATGAGGAGCTTTGATTAAATTTTTACCTCTTTAGAAGATAATAGAGGACTTTAGAAGTGGTTTTAAAAAAAGAGGACTTTAGAGGATTTTAGAGGAGCAGCAGATACCCTGATTATAAATTAGGTAATTCCACCAATTAACTGTAATTGATTTATCTGTAAAAAAACATGAAGTAAATCTAATATTATGCTTGTGGAGATATATTATATTGTGGAGAACCATCCAAACCACACAAGTGGTTATTTTGCATCCAAGTTTCCACTTGTGTGCAAATCTTGCATTCACTTGTCAACATTCTCATTATCACTTTTTTTTTTGTAGTTGTGAATTTAAAATTTTCACAATACTGTTTGCTTTCTTTTAAAATTGAAATGGTTCTACAAATAGTTATATATTTTGTATCAACAAAATAACTCTTCTTAAAACATTGTTTAAAAAATAATAATTGTAATATATAGATATAATGCCTGTAGAGAATTTAGTTTTTATTTGTATAAACTTTAGCCAATTCTTCTCTGTATTTTAGTGCAGTCAATGCTTTGGTACCTGGAAGCCGACAAACAGTTTTATCTCTAATCCAATTAGATGGAATTACTTCTTCCTTTCCGCATATTCAATTTTAAAAAAATTACATGAACTAATATAAAATGAAGAAACCATAATATAAGTGTACTAACAGGCCTAATTAAACAAGCTAAATTTGAACATTTTATAACCATGATACTTGCTAAACAATAATATTAGTAGGCATTATTAACAAAGATAAGATGTTCTTTATTTTATAAATTTATTATATTTTAAACTCATTTTTATTAATTTATTTATTACTCTATTATTCAGCAGAGTTCTGAATATATTATGTTCAAATAACTTAAGGCTCAATAACAAAGACAAATAATGAAAGAATACTAGGTTGCTAAAACATAAACATCTACATAAGATAATTATGGAATACTGAAAAAAAATAGAAATACAAAAAAACAAAAATACTCATTATTAATATAAAATATAATAGTATAATATAAGGTATATTATAATATATGACACAATAATATCTACTTTTAATTAAAATATAAAAACAACAAAAAATAAAAAATAAAATATTTTGATAAATAATAAATTATCATTCAAACAATTTTAAAGACCAAAAAATAACTTATTTTTTTACTTATCTTCATCAAATAAACATTACTTATTTTTAACTCATCTTCATCTAATAAACATTAATATTAATACCAATTTTAAACATTATTAGATTTTTTTTTTTATCAAAAAATTAAAATATTACATCAGTTACTTTTGGGCTTTTCGTATTTTACTTAAAACATCAACTCAATTCTAGGCTTTTTTCATAATTGAGTTTTAATTTGTAATGTTGAATTAACACTGAAAAAAAAACATATTAGCAGACAAAACGAAAATATTTCTTTATTGAAATATATGTAAATATTTCAATAAAGAAACTTTAGATTGATTTTTATAAATATAAATTTATATCAATCAATCTAAATTTTTTTCTTTTCCGCCACCTTTTCGAAATGAAGCGCATTTTTAGAAGTTAGACAAATTGCCATCAACTAAATTTTCAGTCGCTCCATCGTATTTAATAGAAGAAGCTGTTAATAAAAAAGAATTTAAAAAAAAATAAAAAACACAAGGAGAATTTTTTGAATATATAAAAAATGAGAATAAAAAAGTTTTACATATCTTATAAAGGTACCTTTATACCTTTCACTACACCATATAAATTAGTGCTCTTAAAGCATATTTCCACCTTTCCCCTTCATATTCATGGAGGTCACAAAATTGTTGGAAAATATTCTAAATTTTAATAGATAAGAGAACTGATATTATTTATGCGACAACTAATATTAGTTTTTTTTTTTAATTTAAATTGATCTCATTATCAAATTTTTGAATTAACTACGACGTGCTTTTCTTGCGCTGTAAATTTTTAATAAAATTGTTTGAACTTAATTTTTAAAATTTTAGTTTATAACTGGTATTTAACTTTTAACTGGTATTTTGTTTATAACTGGTATTTAACTTGAGATTGAAAATGAGTTCAAAACAAATCACTGACGTCTCGATAAAATTAGTTAGGGAAATTTTTCAAGAAATGTTCCAAAAACAACAAAATGATATACTATCGTTAACAAGTGCAAATTTAAAACTGACTAATGATCGAATCGATGGATTGCTGAAAGAAATTAGTACATTAAAAGAAACTTGTGAAATGTTAAAAAAAGATAACGTAAACCGAAATGCCGATCATAATAAAACTAACAAGCAGTTGATAAAGTTTGAAAAAACACAAAAAGACATTGAGGAAAGTCTAACGTTTTATCAAGATTGCAATGACAAAAAAATGAGCGAGTTGGAAAAAAAAAAGTCATCGAATGCAAATATAGGTGAGAATGAAAAAAATAAATTTAGACAGCTGGAAGATCGACAAAGGCAAAATAATCTTCGAACTGAAGGAGTTAAAGAAAATGACAACGAAAATTGGGATGATACGGAAAAAATAATAATAAACATTTTTGAAAATAATCTCAATGTAAATGGGGTAATCATAGAAAGAGCGCATAGAACTGGCATTATTGAAAAAAAAAATCCAAGAACAATTGTAATTAAGTTACTTAACCATAAAGACAAAGTAAAAATCCTAAAAAATGCCAATAAACTGAAAGGATCCGGAATTTATATCAACGAGGATTTTTCGCTGGAAACTTGCACAATAAGAAAGAAACTTCTTGAAGAAAGCAAATTGCACAGGATAAATGGTAAGTATTCCGTTGTTATATACGATAAGCTTATTGTTAGAGAATTTATAAAAAAAAAATGATGATAAATGATTTTCTTACGTTTTTATATTACTTTTTTGAGTTATAATATTGCTTTAAGTTATTTCTGATTTAAAATGGCTGATGAAACTGTTTTAACAAACATAAATTTTAATTCATTTGTATCAAAAAAGTCAATACTATTAAACAACTATTCGGATCCTGATATTAATTTTTATAATAATGATGAAATAATTAAAAATATTAACCCTTTATATTATGACCCAAATTCTAAAAAAATTGCTAATGGAATTGAGGATAACTATTTTTCAATGCTTCATATTAATATTAGAAGTATTCAAAAAAATTTTGAGTCATTAAAACAACTTTTATATAAAATTGGCATTAAATTTCAAATAATTTGTCTAAGTGAGACATGGTGTAAAGATAAAAACATTGAAAACAATTCTAATTTTCAATTACCTAATTATAAAGTAATTCATCAAGTTAGAGCATCTAATAAGGAAGGTGGGGGTTTGTGTATATACATAAAAAACTCAATATTATTCAAAGTTAAACCAAATTTAAGTTCAACTACTAACGATTATGAATCGTTATGTATTGAAATTATTAACAAAACCTCAAAAAATATCGTCATTCATGGTTTATACAGACCGCCTTCAGGAAGCATTAAGGTATTTGAAAACCACATTAAAAAAATAATTAAACATAAATCGTCTATGAATAAAGCTGTATATTTTATTGGTGATATCAATCTCAATATATTAGATTATGAAAAAAATATATATATATTAAAAACTTTTTTAACACCATTTTTCAAAATAGCTATATTCCACTAATCAATAAACCAACGCGAATAACTAAGGAAAGTTCAACATCCCTAGATCAAACTATAACAAATGAATTTATAAATAAAAATATAAGAACAGGAATATTTAAAACTGACGTGTCTGATCACTTTTCGATTTTTATCCTATCGCAAAAATGCATATATAATGCCCAAAATGAACGGGAAAAAATAATTAAAACACGTTTAATAACCGACAATTCTATTAGTCATTTTTATAAGCTTCTATCCTGTGTTAACTGGGACACCCTAAAACTAAATCTAAACGCAAATAAAGCGTATGATTTTTTTCTAACAGAGTTTCTTAATCTTTATAACAAGGCATTCCCAGAAGTTACTAAAGTAATCAAAACAAAAACACTTTTAAACCCTTGGATCACGAAGGGTATTCTTAAATCTTCAAAAAAAAAACAATGCTTATATAACAAGTTTCTTAAAAAAAGAACTCTTAAAAATGAAACTACCTATAAAAACTATAAACGGCTATTTGAGTCAATCTTAAAACGCTCAAAGAAACGTTACTATTCTGAACAATTAATAAAGCACAAAAATGATTCTAAAAAAACTTGGCATATTATTAAGGAGGTAATTGGAAAAAAAAGCTTATACAGAAATTTATTTCCTCTTAATCTTAAATTTAATAGCAAACAAATTGTAAATAAATCCTTAGTCGCTGAAACACTTAACCAGTTTTTTGTAAATATAGGTCCTACTTTATCATCTAATATAGCAACTACTCAATCACACTTTAGTTCGTACTTAACCTCAACCAACCTTAATGTCATGTCTAATTATAAACTTACAGAAAAAGAATTACTAGACGCAGTCTCTTTATTAAAACCCAATAAAAGTTTAGGATTTGATGATATAAGTAGTAATGTCATTATCAAATCAATAAAACAAATTACAATTCCATTACTACATATTTTTAATTTATCTCTAAAACAAGGCGTTTTTCCAGATAACCTAAAAATTGCAAAAGTAATTCCAGTGTTAAAATCAGGTGATCCTTCCGATGTTACGAATTATAGACCAATCTCAATTCTTTCTTGTTTTTCTAAAATTTTAGAGCGGGTTATGTATAATAGACTATATTCCTTTTTAAATGTTAATAATATTCTTTATCATAAACAGTTTGGATTTAAATCTGGTCATTCAACTGATCATGCAATCACTCACCTTGTTCATGATATGTTTAAAGGGTTTGATGAAGACAAGTATACCCTAGGTGTATTTATCGATTTAAGTAAAGCTTTTGACACTGTCAATCATCAAATCCTTCTATCCAAACTGAAAAGTTATGGTATAATAAATACTAATTTGTCCTGGTTTGATAGTTACTTGACTTATACTTAAGTTTGACTTATACTTGACTATACTTAAGTTTGATAGTTACTAATAGAAAGCAGTTTATTTCATATGATAGCGGAAAAACGGAATATAAGTCAATCACCTGTGGTGTTCCTCAAGGATCAATTTTAGGGCCACTTTTATTTCTCGTTTATATTAATGACTTATATAAATTTTCTAACATTTTAAACTAATGTTTGCAGATGATACAAACTTGTTTTATTCTAGTAAAGATATCAGTAAATTATTTCAAACAGTAAACAAAGAACTTGAAAAATTAACCCAATGGTTCAAATCAAACAAACTATCTTTGAACATCAATTAATCCAAATACACTTTGTTCCATCGTCTTCATAAAAAAAAAGATATTCCATTAAAACTTTCTGATCTTTTTATTGATAACGCATTATTAAAAAGAGAGCAATCAATAAAGTTTTTAGGTGTGGTTCTGGATGAAAATTTAACCTGGAGGGACCACATAGGTCTAATTGAAAATAAAATATCAAAAAATATAGGTGTTTTGTATAAAGCCAAGCAGTTTTTAATTCTATCTTGTTAAAAAAACTTATATTTTTCTTTAATTCATTGCTACTTAAATTATGCAAACGTTGCTTGGTGCAGCACAAACGCAACAAAAGTAAAAAAACTGTTTAGTAAACAAAAACAGGCTATAAGGATAATTACAAACGTAGACCATTTCTCTCACACTAAAACATTATTTAATAAACTTAATATTCTAAATGTATATAAACTAAACCTTTACCATATTCTTATCTTCATGTTTAAACTTGATAAAAAAATATCACCAATGTTATTTAATTCACTTTTTGAAAAAATAAACCACATATACCCTACCAGATTTTCAAAAAACAATTACATTCAATCCAAAACACATTATTCAGCAACCAAATTCTCAATTGCAAACCGAGGTCCTAAGCTGTGGAATACAATATTAAATAATGAGCTGAAATCTAATTATTCTTTAAACCAGTTTAAAACAAAACTTAAGCAATTACTGATGATACATGAAAATGAATTAAAGTTCTTCTAAAAAGCTTTTTAAACTAGCAAACAAAAACAAAAATTAACCTACTAATTACTCTTTAATATTATATTTAATATTCTAAACAATAGTCTGCTATTGTAAATGTATTTCTTATCTTATAAGATTTGAATTTACAAACGATTTTTTAAGTTTTATTATTTGAAATACTAATTACTAAAAATATTGTAAAATTTTATAATTTCAATTTTTATTAAAAAAAGTTATTGTAAATTCTTTTTGTAATATTAATACTTATATATCATCTTATTTTACTAATCAGTTCTTAAATATAAATACTCTTTGTAATTACTAAATATTTTAAACGTTATATATTTTATTTTTTACATTTTGTTAAAATATTTTATTTGATGAATATGCATTTTTTTGGGGGGGCTTAATGATAAGATGAATTTTGTCTTCTTCAAGCCCCAGTCATGTAAATATTTGTTTTTATAAATTACGAGTGTAAATTATTTTCAATCGGCAAATACAATACTAAATAAAAAAAAAAATAAAAAACAATTTTTTTGCTAAATAACTTAATCCTTAAAATTCCTGAATAATTAAAATTTATTTTTATTACCTCAGCATTTTAAAGATATTCCATCAATTGCAATTGATTCACCTAAAAAAAACAACAAGTAAAGCTAATATTATTGTTTGAAATTTTAATTATCTTTATACAAATACTCATCATATTTTTAAAGTGACTGATAAAAATGGATTTAATTAAAATCACTTCATTTGTATTAAAAAATTAATATTAAAGCCTTAATCATACATTATACAAGAGTATTTTGTAATACAATCTAAATAGTTGTTGCGATATGTAATTTTTTTATCCAAAATTTAGCTTTTGTAATCTTTAGAAACTTTTTAAAGAAATTATTGATGAGTTTGGAGCTACGGGTACTTATGTTTTTATATTGTTGTAATGTTTGTATTCATTCCCTGTTAGTTTCTGTAAGTCAAAATTTTAAGGTGTTTTCATAATAAATTCTGTTATATCTGAAATTAAGTGTTAGTCTGAATAATTTAATTTCTAAAATTTGTTTTGCATTGCCTTTTTTGCATTGCCTTTACATCTTTACTTGGAACAAAAACCATGTGGTTTAAAAGTGAGCTAGAAGCTTTCAACAATAAAGAAAATATTGCATTCGCTAATCCTAAAAATATATTAAACCTGTCAGCAAAATCAGCTTTCAATAATCCAAGTATTAGCATCATTAAAAATTCATCTTTGCTGCATTAAATTTATTTGGGTCCAAGTAGTTGAGGATTTTTTTAAATTTCAAAAAACAGAAGTAAATGTTTTTATAATATAACTTTATCTCTTTTGATTAATGGTGATACTGCACTAACTGATGAAACACATTGACAGATGTAAGGCCAGTTTAAAAGTCTCAAGATCTATTATTTTTAAAATAAATGTTTGTATACAAGTAAATTGCAATAACACGATTTGTTTAGATTATGTTTATATACAAATTTGTCTGTTTTCATAGTAATAACTGATGTGGTTGAAGTTAATTTTTCATATAAATCTTTATTTTTTTATTTCGTGCTGAAGTTCTTTTTTAAAGTTATCAATTTCCTTTTTTAATTCTTGATGCTCTATTAAAAAACAACGCTTAGCATTAAATTCAACATAATTTAATGGATCATTTTTTGAAAAAAGTTGTATTATATTTACATTTAATAATATCAGTCTTTGAGCATTGTAGCCCAAGTTAAACAAAAAATATCAATTTTTAAACGATAATGTTCTTTCAGGAAAATCGTCTGAACATGTTTTCGAT